TCATATGTATATTTTGGATACTTACACACTAGGTTCTTTTGTTTTATAGATATTCAAGACTAGAGAGTCCTTAATGCAGTGGGCTCGTGAGGCTGGAAAGAGAAATGGGTTTGTTATTGTGACAATAAGATCTGATTTGGGTGGTAAGAGTATGAAACCAAGAGTTACATTAGGCTGTGAGAGGGGTGGAAGATTTAAGGAGAAGAAAACTAAAGTCAATAAAGGTGCTAAAAAAAGATGTGGGACTGGCACGAAGAAGTGTGGGTGCCTGTTCACATTGAAGGGTGAGAAGTTGGCAAGTGGCAATGGATGGATACTGAAGGTCTTATGTGGAGTGCACAACCATGCATCAACTGAGTATTCTGAGGGGCGTTCATATGCAGGGAGGTTGTCAGAGCAGGAGACTTCACTCTTGATAGACTTGTCAAAGAGTTTAGTACGGCCCAAAGAAATCCTGAGCACATTGAAGCAAAGGGATGAACTCAATGCTACAACCATAAGGACGATCTACAATGCACGCCAAAGGCAAAGAGTTAAAGAGAAGGCAGGGAGGTCTCAAATGCAACAACTTTTATGTAAGTTGAATGAGCATGACTATGTTGAGTGGCATAGGAGTTGCCCTATGTCTGGTAATGTGCTGGACTTGTTTTGGGCACACCCTGTGAGTTTGGAGTTGTTGCGTGCATTTCCAACCATTTTGATGATGGATTGCACGTACAAGACTAATAGGTATCACTATCCCCTACTAGAGGTTGTAGGCGTCACATCAACTGATATTACATTCTCAGTTGCATTTGTTTTTTTAGATTCTGAAAAAGAAGATAACTATATATGGGCATTAAGCAGATTGCGTGGTGTGATGGTGGAGTGCGCTATGCCAAATGTTATTGTCACTGACCTGGATTTGCCATTGATGAGAGCCGTTGAGGTAGTATTCCCTACGGCTAGACATCTTTTATGCAAATGGCATATTAATAAGAATGTGCTGTCCAAATGCAAAAACTTGTTTGAGTCCAAGGAAAAGTGGGATAGATTTATAATGAAGTGGAATGTACTTGTGACGTCTCCTACGGAAAGTGATTACAAACGGGAGCTAGCAGTGTTACAGAGCGAATTTAGTATGTACACTGAGGTCATGGAGTATGTTATAAACACATGGTTGAAGCCTTTGAAGGACAGATTTGTGTCAGCTTGGACCGACATGATTATGCATTTTGGTAATGTTACATCAAACAGGTAATTCTTGAAGTTATAATATAATTAGTCATGCAATATTACATCACTGGTTTAATATGAATTTGTGTTAACCTGTTGTATTTTTTTATGATTTAATAGGGCTGAGGGTGCACATTCCAAGCTTAAGAGGGAACTTGGTTTGAGTCAGGGGAATTTTGAGGGTTCTTTTGAAAATATACACTCTCTCATCGAGTTACAACACATTGACATAAAGACATCTTTTGATAAGTGTTCGACAGTCGTGCAACATAACTTCAAGTCTTCAGAATTCAAATATTTGAGAGGAGTTGTATCAATTTTTGCATTGGAGAAGGTGTTATCTCAGTCCAAGCTAGCCGCCTCAATTGGTGTTGATGCTTTGGCATGTGGTTGTGTCATACGCCGTACCCATGGTCTACCTTGTGCCCATGAGATTGCAGAATACAAGAGGGATTGTAGGCCAATTCCTCTCGAGTCTCTTGACCCCCATTGGATGAAACTTGATTTACTGCCTCCTAGTTCTATTCAGGATTCCATGGATGTGAATGAGTTTCCGGAGTTGAAGTTGCTTCAGCAGTACTTTCTGGAGGCAAATAAAGACAATAGGTTGATGCTAAGGAAAAGAGTGAGAGATCTTGTAGCACCCTATACAACTACTCTTGTTGAACCAGGAATCAAGTCTAGATTGCGAGGTCAATTGAAGGAGAAAATTGATATGTCCAGTCGACGAGACCCATATGCATTTGAATTGAGATCTGCATCTGTGGATAGTCACTCACCTAGCTTTACAGGTGATACAATGGATGTTCCGCAAAATTTTACACATAAGAAAACGGAGCGAACAAAGGAGAAGGTAATAAAGATACCCATTACTAAATTGAAGATGATATAGTTACCCATTTATACATAACAATTTATATTCATACAGGTGTACCGGACGTTGACGGTGAAAGGTATTTCATATATTGATGCGTTCCCAGTTGGATTGAGGCCCTTCATTCAACAAGTCAAGGATGTATGTCATGATGGTCACTGCGGGTTTAGGGCAGTTGCTGATTTAGTGGGATTGGGTGAGAATGGATATTTGCAAGTGCGTAATGACTTGCTTACTGAGTTGTCTTCATATTCTGCGCATTATGGCGAGTTGTATGGCACCACAGACAGAGTTCGCGAGTTAGCACAGATACTATCATTCTTTGATGAGGGTAGAGCGCCATTTGACAGATGGATGACGATGCCTGACATGGGTCATCTTATAGCGTCATGTTATAAGGTTGTACTTTTCCACTTGTCAGCTACTCAGTGCCTTACGTTCCTGCCGCTTCGATCAGCACCAGTTCCTTTGCCAACACGTAGACACATTGCCATTGGTTTTATGAATGACTGTCATTGCGTGGAGGTATGATAGCAATAATTTATGATGTGTGTGGTTTTATTGTAAAAAGACATTTTAGATTAATGTAACATATGTTTCTTGTAGGTGTTCTTAAGGCCAGGGCATCCTGTGCCTCCTGTTGCATCTGATTGGATCAGATGTCATACGCCAGCAGCACAAGGATGGGACTCTTTGTATACTAGTTGTATTTCACGCTTCAAATCTCTTGTCAGCTCGGACCAAATCTGACTTGGTCAGGTGTATGTCACAAGTTCAAACTGTTTCAGAACATGCTGAGGATCGTAAGGTTAGATCACATAAATGCACCAGAAAAGAAGGAGAGGTGATGAAGTGGATGTTGCTCCCAAATCCCACCATAAGGAACCCAAATTACCTGCACAAATAATGGCAACCAATATTTGAAATGATATACATACTTAAAGGGAAAGTGATAAACCTAATAGAATGGACAGAGGACGTCTCATACCTCATCAATTATGAAAGCATCCAACTCCTCTCTTATGCTGCAAATCATTCATAGCGGCAGCTTTGACAATATCCAATGATACACAAGCGGTTTGTCTGAGATATAGTTCATGTTCCAACATGTCCCAAAGAGCAAATAAGCTTACATTCTCACACCTCTAAAAGCTTCAAGTGTCCCGCAGTCCGTCTAATACCATACCTGGTTACATGCCCCAAATGTAAATACATGTAGTTGGGGGACGCAATTCCCCATCTCATCTCACCGAACTCCATAAGCATATGAAACTAGATTATGCACACTCGTGCACCGCTGTTATCAGTGAAGAATGTACATCTCAACATACAACAAATATGCTCTCGTATCCTGATTGTGCACATATCAGCACAACTGAAAATAATTGAAAATCCTCTAAAACTTTACATTAATTTCCATTGGTCCCTCAATCAGTTGTGATTTGAAATATAAATTCTGCATACTGCAAACTAATTTTTCTACGTTGTACGGTTTTTCCTGTCCTATGTATTTTTAATTCTGTCCTTGTTTTGTAGGGCAGGTTTTTTCCCGTCTGATTTCATTTAAATTCTTTGCAGTTAGCATGGTGCATTCATAGGATTTCTGGTGTGCGTTTGATGTTATTTTACTTTTGCTCAAGATATTGTTTTGCTTCTGACTATTTATTAGTAGCAGTTATAATTGTGCATCTTTAGAATTTCTGGTGTGTTTGATGTTAACTTTCTTTTGTTCAATAATATTATTCATCATGGTGTTTAATGTTATGCAACTTTTTCCAAACAGGAGGATACTTACCTATGGGAAGACGATGATGACAGGTACCATTTAAGCGTATACCTTAATGCATTTGTCTTAAAAGTTACATTTTGTGCAGAAGTGATCTACTGCAGGCACTTGCTTGTAATTTGTTTAATAGTTTCATATTTTAGTTATTACCCTTCTAAATTTTGTTCCCTTTGGTCTAGTTCATCTTGATTGTGTAAGAGGTTACCAATAATTGGTAATCTAGCACTGACATTTCTTCGAAGCTGTCATGTTCTTGTGCCCTGACACAATGCTCGACCCTGTACGTGGTCTTTTGTGTATTTTCTCAACACTTCATCGACACTTTTCCAACACTTTCCTGACAAAGTTGAGGCGAAATTATAATATTTTTCTTAAGAAATTGTAAGAGACTTAGAGGATGTTATGCATGTTAATGGGAGTCTTTGGATCCAAAGTTATGGTTGGCTGCTTATGGATCTACACACAAAATTCAAGCCTTAGCTACAAGTTGACTTAGGCAACCTTGTCTCAGTGTTCGGAGATTTATTTGAGTGCTTATTCTCTTATGTTATTGTTATTTTTATGCTAATATTACTATAATACTTAGGGAGCTAAGACTTAAGTGTGTATTATTATTTCATTTTTTATTATTGGATTGGATTTATTCTGATAATGCTTTATGTTGAGTTAGGACTTTGGTTTTACATGCTTTCAATGAAATTTTTGACCATTAACTTTGGAAGAATTAGTTACAAACTAATTATTCATGCATAAAGATGAATCTAAATTTTAAAACCCTAAAACCATATTCACTTACTTTCTGTGTCCATGGTGTTGGGTATCTTAATTTGGTAAAATTCGTAATGAGTGATGTAGTGTTATGTTGCATGTTGGTGTCTACTTCATAGTTTATAATTCTCTTCTTTTTGATGTATATATTTTTTTTAATCATCAGTAGTTCTATAGTTTGCATATGTTGCCTTGTCCATCTCTTTATGTACCTTTCCTCTTTTTTAATAAAATATGTTGTGTTTCCTACAAAATGTAACTAGTTTTACCTTGCTTAACGCTTCAGCAATTTAGACATTAACTGATCTACATGGAAAGGAAGAAATCTTCAAATGAGTGGGTTTTGTGGAAGACTTAATGAATCAGATGAGTGGATCAGTTGCAAGTAGTTTCCACTTCTCTGGTGGGGCTGGTTATCTTGTTAATTTCAGCAAACACGTCTTAGGTTTTGTTTTCCATTTTGTGGCCTATGTGGTTGAAAGGTATAGGTTTATGATGCAGTTTTCTCTCGAGTATATCTTTAATATCAAAATAAAATCTTTCGAAAAAATGCACACCCACTCTCATGTACACATGCATATTTAGAGATCTTATGTAGACTTTGTGCATTCCTTTTTATGATTTATCTGTCTTACTTGAGTTATATTTAACTGCCTGTTGGTGTCAGGTATTCAGTTGAGAAAATTCCGCTCTATGATTCTGCAGAGGATGAGCCTTCCTCGAGGCTCTTCAAGACTGTCAACTCCTCAAGTTCTGAATTTGATGTTGATGGGATGATGATCAATGTCAATGTGGATTCTGGACATCAGTTGATGTCTACTGCTCTTGTTGTGCAATCACTTGATTCTGTTCCAATGGAGGGTGTAGTTATGGGGGTAAAAACAGAAGTGAGTGAGGAGAGGAAACTTTATTCACAAGAAAATCAACCACCTTTTGCAAGAAAGAATGCAATGATATCTCGTATCCGCAGTAATACTGCATGTCGTAACTATCACATTGGATCAGGATCCATGCCAAACAAAAGATCAAAGCAATACTCTAATGGAAAGGTGAAACATGGTGCACAAAATCAAGTTGACGCCAAGTCTTTTGCTTCGCTTTTAGCATCAAGGGAAGCACAAGAGGAAATTTTAAAATATGAGGTATTTATCTTTTCATTTTTTTATTAATCTGTTCTATATATAGAAGTGTATGTCTTATAACATTCAGCAGACCAAAATGCCATATTATTAATAATTATCAGCTCATCTATATAATCATCTAAGCTTAGTTGGTATACATACGTTTTATTTTCAGTTTAAAATTACTTATAAAATCTAATGACCAATAAAATACCCCAGCAGTTAAAAGTAGCCATAATATAGTTTATACCTAATATATCAAGCAACCATACCTTATCTCATGTGATGTTAGCCAAAACAAAAAAAACCAAGATTGATAGCGTATGATAGTAAAAGAGCATGTGATTTTTGGTGTGACCATCTGAGGTAGTTCTTTCCATTATTTCACAAACCTTGTATTAAAAAGATATTATGTTAAGGATATTATGTTAAGGTAGTAAAATACTGTATAATTAGAAAAGAGAGATCTGGAGGTTCCCAATAGATAAATTAGAAAAATTCCGGCAGCACACCGCCCTTTGGCATCACACTGAACGTGCCTTGAAATCTCTCCAAGCCAACCTGTGCTTTCACACATCAGCGGGAATATAATTTACTTAATGGAATATCATTTATTTATTTTGTATAATTTTTAAATCTTCAATCTCAATTTCATGTACATAAAAGTTGTGTATAACAACATTTGTGCCTGAAGTATTTGCCTATGTCATTGTACACTATTAGTACTGTTTAATATTTCAACTTAAATGATTTTATTATATGCTATTAGCGCCTGGCACATGATTTTATTGTTACTATTATTATCAAATTGTTCACGTTGAAAATTTTATTCAGTGTATGAAAAATGATGCTGCCACTCATCTTGAATCTTTATACAATGAGATACGGCCTGCCATTGAAGAACATGAAAGGGACAGCCAAGACAGCGTGGCTACCAGTGTAGCTGAGAAGTGGATTGAAGCCTGCTGCTTGAAACTGAAGGCAGAATTCGACCTTTATTCTTCCATTGTTAAAAGCATTGCCTGCACTCCACGAAGGGGCCAAGCTGAACATTATGATGGCAACAATGAGAATGAAATCAAGTACCTGCAGAACTGATCTTTGTTCTCAGCTCGTTCATTGGTTTGGAACAGATACATTTGGATAAAGCCACATCAGATTGAATTGTAACTGTTCAGTCTATTTTAGAATTATCAGATTTACACCATGATTCTGGGATTACTGTTCCATGTTTAGTATTGTGATATACTTCTAGATATCTTTCTTTAAAAAGAAAATTATTCGGGTTTCTTGGTATGTTTGGACTACATAATGCTTTTACTAAGAAATGAAAAAAAGGGTTACTATACGAACACGAATTTTTTTTAATTGCGTTTTCACAATGTGAAATTGTGCCTTTTCTTTTGGGTTAACTATCAATCTACCTCATGAACTTGGACGCTACTTTCAATTTGCACTCTAACCTTTTTTTCTGGAAAATTAAGGATCCAATTATTTTTTATCGACAATTTCCCCCAACCGTCTAAATCAACTTTTTGACATCCAATAGTCTGTCACATTGTCATTGTTCAAGGGGTAATTTCGTCTCTCCACCTTAATAACTCCATTCAGCCCCTTTTCCAATCACACAAGTCGTCGATTTAAAAAGAAATAAGAAAAACAAAAGTCACAAAAGGGTCAATCCGCATGACTATTACTAAAGTAAGGTTTGTTTTGGGGAAGAGAAAATTCGACGATTCAGCACTGAATAGATAATTTGAAGACTGAGGGTTTTTAATCGGTGAGATTTTTGAATGATTGTGGTCCAATGGTGTCGGTAGAATAGTGTTTCTTATCTGCCGTTTGTAAAGTAGTTTGGCTGAGATTCTTCATTTTTGGTTTGGGTGATATTCCTTTATGAAAAGAAAATAAATTTGTGGTCCCATTAGCATGTGATTTGTCTGTGCTTGATCTGTAACTTTTGGTTTTGTTTGATATGAGCAAGTTTTTGTTATGTCAAATGTAAATGTGTTGTTATGGCTGTAAATATAAGTTGTTGGTGACATTAAGTGTTGTTTATATATATATATTTTATTTCTAGCTAATCCATGTAACTTCACCATGGAGATTCACCATGCAGGGAATTTTAAAAGGGTAGTATACTAGTGATTTACCCCATGTACTTGTACCTAACTTTCGATTTTCCCCATATCCTTTTTTTTGGCAGAAAACTAAGGATATGAACTCTTTTTTTCACCAATTTCCCCCTACTGCCTGAATCCTCAACATTTCATCCAATTTTCAGTTCAATTATTTTAAAAATTTATTTTTTTGAAAAAAAATTGAAGAAAGAGTACCATCCTCCACCCCTACAAACCTTTCCCCCCCTCCTCCGGGTTTTTTTGCTCCTCCCATTCCCCCATGACCATCACCCTCCACTCCCAGACCAATCCCCCAACCCACAGACCCTTCCCCTCACCTCCTAATTTCTGTTTTCTTAACCCCCTGGGCCAAGCCCTCCTTGGGTTTTCTTTTCCACCCATTCCCTATGTGACCATCACCCTCCACCCTCAGACCAATCCTCCATCCCCAGATCAATCCCCCACCCCACAGATCCCTCCCCCCTCATCCCCATTCTTTTTAGGGAGTTTCACTAAAACACCCAAAATGGGGGTTGA